AGGGTCAGAGTCTGGGTTCGTGCTAGGTCTCCTGCCCCATTCCGGTACCCCTGATGAACATCTGACCCTGATGAGGGCCCAGCCAGCACCTGTTCTCTTCCCACCCTTTTCCCTTCCTGCCCGGGGAGGCCTAATGTCTGTAAAGCCTTGTCTGTACCTTCCCCAGTGTGGTTGATCATCATCCTGCATCTGAGTACTCTCAGGGAGTCCAGTTTTAGCTGGCAACAATGGATGGAAAATGGCTTATTTATCTCTCTTAGTTTGATGTCATACGGTGCACTTTGTGGAGCATTTCATATCACTTCTGCTATTCCTCCTTCCTTTGCTCCTTCCCCGATAAGTGCCTGACTCAGGAGGGGAGCAGTGTTGTTTGTTTCCTGCTGCATCTCTGTCCACACATTTCTTCTTCCTCATTGTGCTTGAGAGACAGAGGCTGGGCCTGCCTGAGCTCCCTGAGTGGCCTCCCCCCTCCCCGCCCCCCACGCCATCACATCTTGGTGCCTATGATCAGATGTTCTCCCTGGCACCAAAATGTCACTTCGTGTAATGTGTGCTTCATGTCTTTGGGGCCCTGGCTTTTTTGTTTGTTTGGGTTTGGTTTTTATTCTCTGTTTTTTTTGTTTTGTTTTGTTTTGGTGGGCCAAGCATGATGGTGCTCAGGGGCAACTCCCAGTGAATTACTCGGGTCACTCGGCACACCATATGGTGCCAGGAATCACACCAGGGCACTAGACTATTGAGCTGTCTCCCGAGCCCGTAGTCCTGAGTTTGGTCCCCAAAACCCTGCTCCCACCCCCGGAGGGATAATAGATGTTCTCTCCTTGAGTAGTTGAGGATTTCCCAAACACTTGGCCAGTCTTGTACATCCACACACTTGTTAATTTTTATAGATCTAAGTGTTTACACTGGTTAGTGCATAGTTGTGTTTTATTTGTTTATTTGTTTTTTTGGTTTTGAGGCCATGTTCAGTGGTGCCAGGACTTACTCTTGGTTCTGCATCCAGGAATCACACCTGGCAGTGCTCAGGGAACCATATGGGATGCTCGGGATCGAACCCAGGTTGGCCATGTGCAAGGCAGGTGCCCTCCTGGCTGTACTATCTCTCCAGCAACTATAGTTGTGTGATCCTCCAAAGTTCCTAGGCGGGTCAGTGAGTGGACCATGCCCACTTTGAATACTTAGCCTTCCTCTGCTGTGTCATCGCTTATGTGATAGAATAAACATCAATACACACATATAAGTTTTACTTAAAAAAAAATTTTTTTTTTTTTGCCTTTTTTCTCCTCCTCTCAGTGCCAGAGAGTAAAACCAGGGTTTTATACAGAGGAAGAATGTGCTCTACTACTGAGTCACATTCTCAATCCAAGTGTTGTAGTTTTAACAGAAGTTAATGGTTATGTTCCGGGGGAGTAAACAAATATTTGATTCTCTTGCACAACAGAAAGCACAGAGATCATGGGTTCTTGCATTTACTTTGCTTTCCGGTTACCCCTTGGACCTTCTAGGAGAAACACATTTCCAAAGTTTGAGCTTGGGTTTTTTCTATTTCAAATGTTATGTACTTTTTTTTGGGGGGGGGGAGTGGGAGACATACCCAGCCGTGTTCAGGGGTTACTTCCAACTTTGTGCTTGAAGGACCATGTGATTCCAGGGATCAGACCCAGGCCTGTTGAGCTTGCTCTGGGACCTCGCCATTTTTTTTTAAAGGAAAAGTAACGTGTTTGGGCTCCTTTAGATGACATATTTATTCATTTTGATTTGAGGGCCACACCTGATGTTGTTTAGGGTTTACTCTTAACTTTACTCTTAACTCTTGTACTCAAGGATCATTCCTGGTGGCCCTCAGGGGACCATTAGTAGTCCTGGGGATCAAACCAGGGTTAGCCACATATGACACAAGTGCCTTGCTATCTCTCTCTGGCCCTAGTGTCTCAAATTTATTGAGTAGGGAAAAAATATTTATTGAATAGAATTGCTAGTGTTCTTAAGTTAGAAAGTGCCAGTATACTTTGTATTTTTGTTGGTGGTGAGGGTTAATTCTTTAACTTTTGAACCACACCCAGCCTTGCTCTAAAGTTACTTCTGGTGCATTACTTGAGGGTTACTCCCAGTGGTGCTCAGGGCACCATAAAGCCAGAATCATACTTGGACCTTCTGAATGTAAAATATGTGTCTACTCCAGTGAAATCTCTTGGGGTGTGGTTTTCAATACCATGTTTCACTAATCTGTGGCCTCGTGAGTCTGGGAGCAGGAGAAGGGGCACCTCAGGTCCAGGTCTTAGCATTGCTAAGGCTCCTTCATGCTTGACTTTGGTATTTTATCGATAATACATTTTCAGAAATATTACTTGTTAAATGTCTTCTGTTTGTGTCCAGCGTACTATTTAATGAGACGTTTTTAGAGGTATCTAATGCTTCGAGACTTGGTTATTACACTGTTTAGGGTTTTGGTAAGGTGTGCCTCCTGCTTGAGAACATGTGGACTTCACTTTGAGCTCCTTTACCTGTAGCTTTTGTGACCTTGAACAGGTTATTTATTCTCTCGGTGCCTGTAAGAAGAGGTAGAAGGCTAACATTCTCTAGGTCAGGAACCTTCAAAGCTGTGCTCTCTCCCTTCGGAGAAATGAATTTATACTCAAAAGGTTTGTAATTAAAGGAAGCTAAGCGGTAAAAGCCCATCCAGAAACAACCCCCTCCCCAGTTAGCAGTTACCTGTAAATACTCTCTCAGATTATGATTTTTAAAGTAATAAGCTCTTACCTCATTGTTGCTAAGCACCAAGAATTGACCTAAGGGCTGGAGTGATAAAATGGTAGGTAGAGCACTTGTCTTGCATGTGCTGGACCTGGATTCGATCCCAGGCATCCCATATGATCCCCTGGGACCCACCAGGAATGATCCCTGAGCACAGAGGCAGGAATAAGTTCTGAGCACCACTAGTCTGAGGAACAGCACCCCCACACCACACACACACACACTTGAATTAAACCCTTTCAAGACATTAACTGAATCTTCACAATAACTACAAGATAGATATTGTTGTTATCCCTCCTTTACAGATGGGAAAACTGAGTCATAGACCTTAACCTCAGCATCCCACAGATCCTAAATGCTGGAGTCAGCTTTCACTCCCTGGAAGCCTGTCCCCAAGCTTGTGATCTGAATTAACACTCTGCTGCCTCTGAAAGAGGATCTGGAGGTGTTCCGCTTGAATGCAAGGTGTCGCCAGCCAGGGCTGTGATCTGTGCGGGGGTCTGGGAGGCACCTGGGCTGGCACCCACAGGAGGACTGGCTGAGCTAGAAGTGGGACTGCTGCCTTCCTGCCTGGCTAAGAGGAGAGATCTAACTTTGGAAGTTAGGGGAGCAAGAGAAAGCGAGTAGGGGGTGAGTTCCTGAAAAAGCAGTAGTGAAATGAAGAGAGAAGGAACTGACCCCATTGACCCCAGACTTCATCACAAGGCTGTGGCGTGGCTCTGTTCCTGTCAGGAGACCCTAGAGGCAGAGTTACTGGGAGCTGGCAGAGAGGACTGGATTAGCCTCTGGAAGGAGGAGGAGGAGGAGAAATGACTGCAGAATGCACAAGGTTGATGGAGACTCCGTGCTACTCTGCAGGCACGCCTTTATAATATTCCCTTCATTGAGGAGCTCTTTCCGCTGCTCCTGCAGCTCGGATCGGTGTCCGTGGTCAGCAGCCCCTTGACAGGACTGGCACACATGTCCCTGGAGTCTGCGGCCTCTACCTGAACCCTGCCCCAGACCTTACCACAGCACGTCTCCACTGTGCAGAGGAAGAGAAGCCACTCCTGAGGGGCCCTGGTGTCACAAGTGTCCACCTGGACACACAGTCCCTTATGTGCCCCTCCCATCACTGACCCTTGTCCTGGCACTGCAGAGGCGCCTGCTAGCTCTCCTAACCTCTCAGCAGCCTTTCTGGATTCCAGACCACATTCCTTGGGTAGCGCCTGTTTTCCTGAGCCAAACCTGCTGCAGCAGCACCTTTGAGGATCTCCTTGCACTTGCACCCAAGAGGGAAAGACAAAGCTCATGTCCCACCTCCAGGCTGCAATCTCAGGAATTCCTGGAAGCCCCTGTCTATACCACCCCACCTCTCGCTCCCCAAACAGCCACCACTCACCATGTCCTTATAATGAGAACATGCCCATTGCAGTATCTGAGCCACTGCAGAACTCAGTCACATCCAGTTGTTGACTCACACCCAGTGGTGCTCAGGGGTTAGTCCTGGAGGTACTTAGGGGACCATATTCTGAACCAGGGTCCAACGTGTGTTAGGTAAGCACCTTATGCCCTGTGCTATCTCTCTGGCCCTCAAGTTCCTGTTCTTAAGCTGTCATCCGTAAGGATGTCAACTGTTTTGAATTCTGCCTCTCTCAGTTATCAGACCTTCAAAAAATACAATTATAACAAATACAGGAGGCAAAGTGTTGATACACATTTATCCCTGGGCAGCGGGAGGGGGGAGGCACAGCCGTGTGTATACACTGCTCCCTAGGCGGCAGTGAGGTGGCAGCAGGAGTCCCAGGGACATTGCACACCGGTTTGGAAGATTCTGCCCTGCTAGCATTAAGCCCTGATGGCACCCTAGGATTCCCCAAGACCACTTCCCCGCTGGGCAGTGGCATTGGCTGCATCCACCCTGAAGAGGGGTGCAGCCCATTTCTGTGTTCTGAGTTCCCCTCTGAGGAGCCTTGGTCGAGAAAGGCTTTGAGGAATGGAGCCAGATGTGCAGGTGGCGACTGCAGGAGTCTGAGGGGCATGCCCAGGGGGACCCTGCTCTCACAGCCCTGTGCTGAGGAGGCAGGAAGTCACTCTCCCCTGGGCTGAGCCCCTCAAGGTGACAGCTGACACCCTCCCGAGACCTTTGCTTCTGTGAAACTGACAGCGTTGTCCACTGTGCAGACTGGATTCTAGCCCACTTGGCAGGCATATGTAACTCTTTCTGCTGTGGGCCTCAATTTCAGAATGGCAGCATTAACTACGAGTCATGGTACCTAAACGTCTGTGTTCTCATTGTTAGACTGGAAACAGAATTACAGAGTGCCCCCCAAACATGTTAGATGCCCAGACCCCGATTTTAAGACTTGGTGGGGTTGGCAACTCTCCCCATGAAGAGCAGGCAGCTGGTGCGGTGCTCATAGATGAGGAACAGGAATGGGCGGTCAACGGCGAACCGGACCTGGGTGGACAGCGGCATGAACCCCACCGTGGTCACTGCAGCAGCTTGAGTGCCCTCTTCATTCACAGTGATGGTACCCTGATGCTTGAACTGTTCAGAATAGAAAGAAAAATTATCAGATCCCGTCAGTCAGAGAGAAAGCACAGAGGTCAAGGTGCTTGTGTTGCAGTGACCAGCCCTGGTTTGATCCCCGGTACCGATGGTTCCCAGCGTGCTGCCAGGAGTAAGCTCTGAGCACCACCAGGTGTCGCCCAGTGTTTAAATAAAATTGCTAGATTCCGTCAGTGGCATACAGAGGGACGGGAGCTGTAACGGGGTCTCATGTTCAGGGAAAGTCAAAAGATCGCGTGGAAGACAGGCTGGGCCGGGGAAACAGTGCAGAGGCATGCCTTATGGGAGAGGCTCCGAGTCCCAGCCTCATGCCACTGCCCAGCACTGCCAGGTACAGCCCCCGTGGCTCCCTATGTGTCACTGGGGAGTTCCCCACACCTCTGAGTACTGCTGCTAAGGACAAAAATCACGTCACTGGGGCTGGAGCGATAGCACAGTGGTTGGGTGTTTGCCTTGCACGCAGTCAACATGGCCAACACAGGTTCGATTCCCAGCATCCCATATGGTCCCTCGAGCACCACCAGGAGTAATTCCTGAGTGCATGAGCCAGGAATAACCCCTGAGCATCGCTGGGTGTGACCCAAAAAGAAAAAAAAATCACGTCACTGCTGGTCAAAATAGCCAGCAGTGAAATTTTAGTTACCTGTCACCTGCTGTAATTGTGTGCATGGCATGTGTCATGTGAGCAGTATTCTCTAACATCACATTGACTTCAGTGCCCACAGCGTGATCTCAAAGCCCCGGCTCCAGCCCCATCTCCTTGTGCTCAGGGAAGCACTGACGGAAAGGTTAGCTCTTTATACTTCTGCTCTCACGAGGAAATGCTCGTCCTGGTGTCAGTTCAGCCTACAGACAGTGTCTCCTTTCATCTCGCTTATTTTATGCATATATTTATTTTTTCATTTGGGGGTTTGAGGCTACACCCAGTGGTGCTTGGAGCTTACTCCTGGCTCTGTGCTCAGGGATCACTCAGAAGCCCATATGGAATGTGTCAGGGATCAAGCCTGGGTCAGCCACGTGCAAAACAAGCACTCTACCTGCTGTACTATTCCTCTGGCCCCTCCTTTCATATTTAGTCTTTTTTAACGCAGGGAGCCACGCGTGTTAGTGCCCAGAGAGGCTGTTCCAAGGTCAGTGCTCAGAAGTTGCTCCTGTGGTGCTCAAGGGATTATGCCATCCATGCTAAGGATCAAACTCAGGCCTCCTGTATCCTGAGCATGTACTTTGAGCACTTTGAGCTGTCTCTCCAGCCCCTCCTTCCACATTTAGCAGGTCTTTCACTGTTTAGCAGGGAAAGCAATTTCCTAGCACGGCTCAAGTGTGACTGTCCACTGTGGAGGAGGAATGAGGCTTACTTCCCCTGATTGCTTCCTGAGACCGCCCTCCACTGAGTAGTCAGTGGACACGGGGAGAAGAGACTTAACAGCCCCGCCTGTGAAGTGAGGCCAGCCAGGAGGGGGAGGAGCCTGGGGTGGACACGGGAGAGGTTACCAGGTCAATGGTGATCCTGTGGTCTGAAATTCCCGCCATGTTGCTGCTGTCGTCAAACAGGGATGTGACCCCCATTAACTTCAGGGCCTTCACCAGGTTATAGTTCTTCTCCAGCTTGAACTTAGGCAGGAGGACCTCTCGCGTTCTGATCAGAGAAGAGAAGGGGGCCCCCGCTTTATTGAACAGTAAGCTACAAAAGAATCATGTTTTCCCTTTGGCTGTTTTCCCCACCTAACACACACACACACACACACACACACACACACACACATACACACACACACACACGTTGCTTTTGCCACAGAATGGATACGACATTGTTAAAAATGTTCCAGAGGACACAGAGATAGTAAAGGGGTTAAGGCCTTTCACATGACCTCACCAGTTTGATCTCTCTACTGCACATGATTCCCCCTGAACCTCACCAGAAGAGTCCAGAGGAAGCCCTGAGGACCACCAGGTGTGCCCCAACACCTCCCCCTATTATTTCCCAGAACTGTCACTTGAGGATTGGGGAAGGCCATCCTGTTGTGATTCTGGTTACTTAAATTCGAGGCCTGACCACTACTCTGCAGTTACTTCCTTGGTCATCATGATTCATGTGGTCTTCCCGGTCCACGGTAGAACTGTTACTGGTTTGGGAAGGTATCTAACATAATTTTGTTCAGGTTCCTATGCCAAGTGTTTCTTAATTCTTGACACTATATTGTCCACTAAGGAGTTGAAGATTTGGTCACTCTTTTTTTTTTTAAAAAAAAGTTCCTTGTTTTACATGCAGCCCACCCCAGCATCCCATATGGTCCCCCAAGCACTTTCAGAAGTGATCCCTGAGTATAAAGCGAAGAGTAAGCTGTGAGCACCCAAGGATGTCCCAGAACCCCAAAATAAATAAAAAGTATCAGGCAGTATTAAGCATTCTCAGTGCTTTCTCATCTCTCCCCACCGCGCCACTTCCCTCGGTGGGGAATACTCTAGGTGGGAATGGCAAACTATACAGTTCCAGGAATCAAACCCAGGTCTTGTGCAAGCACAACGGGTACTCCAGCCTTTTGACCTGTCTTCCTACCCTCAACTTATTTGGTCCTTAAATGGGATGAAGCTTGGCACTCTAGCGGGTAAAGCACTGTCAAACATGGTTTTGCTTGGCTTAGGGTAATGGCAGGCGCACAGTCATAAAGCAAGTAAAAATATGAGATGGCAGGTTAGTGTCTAAATATAGAGAACAGGCCATTCAGGGGTGAATGTGGAGGAGAGGGAATTTGTGTGGTCTGGTTGCCTGCCCACACCTTCAAAGGGGGCCTCCTTGTGCCTTGTGTAAGTAGAAGCCTGCAGGGGGCTCTGAGCAAAGGCTGGGGCCGTAAGAGAGTTGCAAGAGGAGTGGGCTACCAAGCCTTAGATGAGGGGAAGGGAGAGGGGGAGGCGGAAGAGCAGAGAAGCCAGCTGGGGCGGTGCCTGTGGAGCTGGCCAAGAAACTGGACTACGTCCTGTGGGTGGGTCCACCAAGAGTTTCTGAGAAGAGGTGGGTGGGGTGATGTTTCAGGAATGCTGGTGTGAGAGCCAGGACAGGTGGACTAAGGAATGGAATGGCAGGGCCCGTCTGGCCTCCGTTAGCTCAGTAGCAGGTCGTGAGCCTTGAAATTAGGTAGGAAGAGACAGGTACAGAAGAGAAAGTTAGACAGGGCCGATCAGTGGGCTGCCTGGATGAACATCTCCCCCCTAGACTGCTTTGTTTGTTGAAACTCTGTATTCTTACAAGGAAACTAAACACTTTTTAATGTGGGCCTAGCGATTACCCAGTAAACAGAGACAGGATTTCTCCACATTCAGCTGTGGTGTAGTAATGGCCTTAGTAATATTTATGGCATCTCATTTTGACTATACAGTGATAAACAGTAGCAGAAGAAGCTGGAAGTGACTTGTATTTAATGGGTTAAGAAGAGAGATGTCAGATTTTTTGGTTAGGTTGGAGAAATTCTTTCATGTTCCAGTTGCCACAAAGATGCTGGAAATTGTTTTCAGGTTGTTTTTTTGAGGGTGCCTTGTTTGTTTCGGTTTTGGACCACACCCAGTGGGACTCAGTGATTGCTCCTGGTTCTCTGCTTAGAGATCACTCCAAGCAGTGCACGGGGGACCATATGGGGTGCTGGGAATTAAACTCAAGGCATGTGTCTTCCCCAAGCACTATCTCTGTGGTTCTCTCCCTTTTTCTTAAAATGACCAGTGTACTAATATTCCTAGTCTCCCCCAGCTCACCCCTTTGCCAAAATAGAACAAACACAATACCTATTAGTCATGCTTTTCTGCCATCTCTCCACCACCTGGGGTGTCAGCTGTGTCTCAAGGGTCTTCATGCCAGACAGCTTGTGCGGGACCACGATGAGCATGCTGATGCCCCCAACATACTCCAGCTGCAGGACATCACAGTCCAGCTCATGGTCATTTGCCGCCAGGAAGTTGCCCTTGGTTTGCATCATAGAGACCTTAACCACCTCTCGTTCATTCAGCCGGAAATTGTGGTTATGTGTCATTTCTACCGGGAATTTATTCACCCAAGACCCTGCAAAGTAACAAGAATAGGAACTGTATTAAAATCTTGTAGGAACTGTGTTAAAATGTTGTTGTAACTGTATTAAAATGTTGAAGTGATAGGACAGCATTGACAAGGAGCTTCCTTTGCATGCAGCTGACCTTGGTTCGATCCCGAGTCCCCCTATGGTCCCCTGAGCACCGCCAGTAGTGATCCCTAAGCACCACTAGGTGTGGCCCAAAAACAAAAAAGAAAGAAATGTAGTAGAAAGTAGCCCTCATTCGTGAATGTGTGTCAGAAATCCCCTCTGCTGGGCATGGAGGAAGATGATGCACACGGTTCAGGAACTGCACCCTGAGAGGGATGATTCAGAGAGTGCTAGCACACTCACCGGAAGGGCGATGGTGGTAGAGCAGTCAGAGGGACTAAGACGAATTCTAGTTAAATGCTGCCACTCTTTGTTTGCCTTCCTGAGACACTGAATTTACCCTGACTTCTTGATCATCTATAAAGCTTTGAGCTCCTCTCAGCCCATGTGTATGACAGGTCAGATTGGTGACGCCATGCGACCACCCAGGCCTCCACTTTAGAGTTGGACGCAGCATTGTGTGTCAGGAATAAGTTCTCAGGTGCTAATGTCATGGTGAATCAGCAGCAGTTGAGAATGGTAGTGCAGGAGGCTACCAGTTTTCTTACACCGCTCTCCTAAGGATGTAGCACCTGTTTCTCCTAGCACCCCTGTGAAGGGGGTGCTTTTTATCATCACCCCCCCCCCGCCCTTACAGGTGAGGTTGCAAAGGAAAGGCACAAAAATGCAAAGGAACTTACTCAGTGTTTACAACTAGTGGGCAGAACAGGTGGGATGAGGTTCTGTGGGGATTTGGGGGCCATCCCCAGCAGTGTTCCAGCCACTCCTGGCAGTGCTCGCTTGGGGGGCCATGCAAGGCCGTGGCTCAAGGCCAGGTCTCCCGCACACAGAGCATGTGCTCCAGCCCATTGAACTCTTCCCCTTGTCCCTCCTTGGGAGGTTTAAACAACCCAGACTATAACAAACACTGAAGTTTCCCTACCTTTGCGGACTTTCCCACTAGCTGCTTTTTAGGGTTCTGCTCAAGCTGTCACGTGTCTCCTGGGATTTTTTCCTTTTGGAAATATCAGAATGTAGACTCAGGAAAGTCCCCCCACCTCCCTGGTCACTCCCCTTCCCCATGGAGTGGTAGCATCAGCTCTGGGACATGGCGAGGCCCTCGCCTCTGTACGCCACCCTTGTTTCTTTGGTGCCTTACAAATGGCTCCGGCATCGGAAGTTAAGTTAGTAACAATTTTGGGAGCTCGAGATTAAAATTCTGCTTCTTAGATTCTTTTTCTTTTTTTGCCGGGGGGCGGGGGGCGCCTTGCTAGGTCACACCCAGCGATGCTCAGGGGTTACTCCTGGCTTTGCGCTCAGGAATTACTCCTGGCAGTGCTTGGGGAACCATATGGGATGCTGAGAATTGAACCTGGGTCAGCCGCATGCAAAAGCAAATGCCCTACCCGCTGTGCTATCTCTCCAGCCCCCTAGATTCTCTTTTTAAAAGCACCCCTGGGGGCTGTAGCGATAGCACAGCGGGTAGGGCATTTGCCTTGCATGCGGCTGACCCGGGTTCGATTCCCAGCATCCCATATAGTCCCCCAAGCATCGCCAGGAGTGATTCCTGAATGCAGAGCCAGGAGTAACCCCTGAGCATCGGCTGGGTGTGACCCAAAAAGCAATAAATAAATAAATAAATAAATAAAAGCACCCCTGAGCTCTTTTCGCTTCAAGAGGAACAGTGTAAAAGAAGGAACAGTGGAGAAGCCAAAGGGCCACAGACACACACAGGCCGTGTGCAGTCTGTTCTCTGCCCCAGCTTTGCCCTCTGTGTCCCCAAGGACAAAACTATTAAGAAGTTTGTCATTAGAAACACCGTTTAGGCTGTAGTTGTGAGGGACATTTCTGAAGCGAGTGTCTAGGATGCTTACATGCTTCCCAAGCTGTAGTTAAAGTTACACTCCTGTGTGAGTCTGGCCCTTCTCAGAGTAGTAAGGAACCATTCTCTTGAGGCCCACAAGGCCCACAAGAACCCCACACCAAGGTTCAGACTTGTGAGTGCTGCCCCAAGACTTGAACCAGAACCCATATAAAGCAGCCAAAGACCTTAAGGATTGAAGACAAACACATCTAGGGGGTAATACAATGGAAATTATGCTTTAAAAAAAATAAAGCAGCCACGGGAAAACTAGCTTTTCATTCCTCTGATTGCCAGCTGTAAATTGAGGGATCATTCCAATAATATGGTAAGAGAAAACACATGCGTTCACCACTGCTGCTCTTGCAGGTGACATTGGTTCCTCTGTGCCAGCAGATTATAAATGACAGTCCTGTTTGCTTCTCTGTTCCCAAGGGCTGACACTGCTTCTCTGCCTTCTGCTAAACATCTGGCAGCCTGTGCTTGTGACTTTTAGTGTCAGTGGCTGCCCCACAGACTTGGAGAACTGAGGCCCGAGAGCTGCCATGTCTTCTGCTGGCTTTTCTGAAGTCACTCAAAAGAAGCTAGTTGCTCGTAAACCGATGTTGTTAGCAAAATTGTACCTATTTAAATGGATGTTATTGGGGGATTGTGCTCGTTTTTGGTCCATACCTGGCAGTGTAGAGGGTAGTCCTGGTACAGTGCTCAGGATGGCCGTGCTGGAGAGACCTTGCCAAGCTGGGCATCAGTCCCAGGCCTCCTGCATGCACAGCATGTTCTCTGCCTATTAAGCTTTCTCTTGACCCAAGTGTGTATTACTGGGACCCGCTGTTTTGCTCATTTAAGTTCATAGGGCCGCATGTGTTAGATTAGTGCTGTCATTTTCACGAGGACGGTGAGTGGCCAGAGAGATTGACTTGCCCAAGTCCACATAAATAAAGAGTTGGGAGGCCAGGCTTAGACAGCGGTGTGTTCCCTTGCAAAACTTGTACCGATAATAACAAAAAAGGGTGTGGCCATTCACTATTTCACATGGATCGAGCATCAGACTTTGATCCACAATATGTGAGGCTAGTGTCGTGTCTGTAACACAGTCCAGCCCAGCATCCAGGCCATTCCTGTGGCTAGACTTCTCCCAGTCCACTTTGCCCACCCAGCTTAACCTCGTTCTCTTAGGCACAGAGTGGCCGCATTACCAGACAGGGAGTTCAGGTACAGAGCTTACCAGCCTGTAGCAGAGAGGAAAGGCCCTCATTCCTGCAGTGCCCTGGGCTTCTGTAGACTGCTAGAGCTGACCAGTCAGAAAGTGTGGCCTCCCAGGCCTCAGGGACCTACTCTAGCTGGAACCCCCCAATTATTAGTGGCAGCGAAAAACAGTTCATGTATGATGGAGAATACGGCAATCTTTGATTCTGCCCTCTGGCTCTATAGGCTGATAAGAGTGGAGAATTTTTTCTGGTTCAGATGAGTGCATTTTGGTTTTGGTTTTTGGACCACACCCGATAGTACTTAGAACTTATTCCTGGCTCTGTGCTCAGAGGTCACACCTGGTGGGATTTGGGGGACCATATGTTATGCTGTGGATTAAACCTGGCCACCAGCTATGCAAGCGCCCTCCCCAGTGTGCTGTCACTCTGGCCTCAGCTGTTCTCTTTTAAGTAAAAACAAAGCACCAAAGATGGGCTTTCCTGGGCAAACCTCGATTCTGCTCCCTACTTGTTAGGGGCCCTCAAGTTTCATTTTACTCTTTTGCCCTAGAGTTTGTCCTTGTAAAGTGGGGGTGCTGTCAGCACCAGTGTCCTCACAGATTGTGGCGATTCCCTGAGTATAAAGAATGAGCTAGGGCCAAGTGATACTTGCTCCTGACACTTGTCACCTCTTTATGTTCTCTTCTGTCTCTCTGAGCTTGCCTGTGTCTGGTTTTCTGGGCATCTCAGCTGAAATGCAGTTCTTGGCCTTCAGCTTATATACTGTAAGAGTATGTGGAGGTGGTAAGCACAAGAGAATGATGAGTAGACTGAAAGTAACATAAGGGTATTAGTGAAAGGTATTGGACATTATGATGGCAGATGAGGTTATTATATATCTAAAACCAGAAGTGCTACTGTAAACGTGATTTAAATTGTAATAAAATTTTAAAAAGACTTTTCTTTGAGAAATATGGAGCAATTTCTTTCTCTCTCTCTCTCTCTCTTTTTTTGCAGGGGGGAGGGGCAGCAGTGCTCAGTGCACAGAGCTTACTCCTGGCTCTGTGTTCTGGGCTCACTCCTAGCAGGCTATATGGGGCACTAGGGGTTGAACCCGGTCTGGCTGTGTGCAGGGCAAGCATCCTACCCACTGTGCTAGCCATCCCTTTGTCCCCATGAAGCAGTTTCTTACCCTTAAAGTAGATACAGTTTAAAATCATCATCTGAGTGGTGGGGTCTATATTTTCCAGAGCATCTTTTATGAGACCCTTGGTGAGCTTCAGAATGTGGTTGTTGGCTTTTGAGATGAAGGCAGGGTCTGAAAAGTCAGCCTCCTGGGCCTCAGCAAAGTAATACTCTCTTACTTTAACTTTGAAGTCATCCAGGATTGGAAATTTCTTCTGTACATAAAGGTCATTGACCGACCTTAGTGTGTACCCAAAATTCCTCCGGAAGAGTCGATGAGTCAGCTTCCGGAAGAGATTGTGAATGGTCATTATCTCATACTTGCTGCTTGCATTGACAAAGTCTTTAAAGTGCAGGACCGAGTGTACTTGTTCATGCGTCTCCCCTTGCAGACCCAAGGAGATCATCCCCATGGCAGTAGAAATGCCCACTGGGGCGATGAAGATGTTGTCGAGAGCATTGGTCTGTTCCTTCAGTGCTCGGTAGAGGCTGAAAGCAAACTTTGCATTGAGGATGCTGAGCCTTTGGATCCGGCTCTTGCCCTGGAAGAGCTGCAGGATGTTCCCGGCACTGGCTTCGGAGTCTGTGGGCAGCACGGCGTCGATGATGTCACTGTAGTCATCATCCTCGCCGAATAGCTTCTCCAGGTCCAGATAATCCTCCTCTTCCTCCCCCTCTGGGATCCAGTCGTTGGTGACTGTGTTTTCTCTGTGGAAGTCCGCTGGGAGAAGGGGCGTGCTCAGGTTTTTGTTGGTTAACTCTCCCCACTGAGGATCCACAGATGTAGAATCTTTTCTGCCTGCCTTCAGCTGATCCACCAGACCCTTGTTCCCACACACAGATGTTAGGATGAGAGAAAAAATGAGGGCTTGGAATGGCCGTTTCATTTTGGTCACGCTGGGAAAGAAGATAAAGTAGGGTGAGAAGCATCTTAGAGGCTTCCCTCCACCCCCCACCCCTCTCTGCCTGGTGCTCCAGTGGCAAGTTCCCTGTGGCTTTGTCCCAGGAAGATGCCCTCAGCATAAAATAGCAAATACCTAACATTTTATGGGCTTCATAACTTTTTGAAGGACCTTTGTGTCCCTAAATAACCTAAATGAGATTTCTCTTTCTCTCTCTCTCTCTCTCTCTCTCTCTCTCTCGCTCTCTCTCTCTCTCTCTCTCTCTCTCTCTCTCGCCACACCTGGAAGTGCTCCTGGCTCTGCACTCAGGGATCACTACTGGCAGTGCTCAGGGTATCATATGAGATGCCAGGTATCATACCCTGGTTGGCCGTGTGCAAGACCAGAGCTTTTACCTGCTATTCTGAAACTCCTCCCCCATGAAAATTCTTTCCTTAGATCTTTGCAGCACTGTTAATATCTAGAATGCTGGAGGTTCAGAGGTTCCTGGGGAAGAGGGGAATTTCCTTTTCATTTATTCACTGAACTTTGTCTCCTATCTCCAAACAACATATGATTGGCAGTACCAGAAGCACAGATGTCTCCCGTACCAAAGGTCTCTCTAGTTATATGGGAGACAGACAAGAAGTAAAGCGGGGTGCTAGGGAGTCAGGGAAACATCACCAAGCGCTGGGGCTTCGGTGCAGATATTAAAAGAAGTTGGGCTCGAAAGAGATCTCACTAGGCTGGGTACATGCTCTGCAGACTGTAGGCCCCAGTTTGATCCCAGCACCAGGTGGTTCCCTGAGCACAGAGCTAGGAGTAGCGTAGCTACCACTGCCAGATGTGACCCTAAAACCAAAACAAACTAAAAAGGCTGACTATAGTCACACTTTTCTGAAAAGAGTATTCTTAAAGATATGGAAAATTTGTTTAGTCCTTTAGGATTGTTTAATTTGCATATGATTTGGAACCTGTCTAGGATCTAGAGATCTGCCCCCCCACCACGTCCAGTCTCGTGAAATGAGGCTGGTCACCTCTTTCCCATGAGGTTATTGGTTTGCTGCAGTTGGGGTAACTCCCCACAGAGCTCAGAGCTACGATGCTTGAGAGCCACTCGGGTCGTACTAAACAGCACTTTAGAACCACCAGGGCCACACCCAGTGGTACTTGTGGGAGACACCCGGTGCTCAGGAGCAGACTCAGAGCTTGCACATGCTCGGCATGTTCTCTACCATTTGAGCAAGTCATTTTTTTTTCCTCCTTTGTATCTGTTGCTACCATTGCTATGAGAAGAAGCTGAATCTTTTCTACCTAATTGCTGCTCATCTGAGGCTGAAATAATCTCCCCAGGCATTAAAGGTCTGTGAGGTTAGAAAACTCTTGCTAAAGACCCGAGGGGCATTTCCTCTCTAAGCCAGTTAAGTTTTTAATACCCATTCTAAGCCTGTCTTTCATCTACTCAGTCTCTGCCTTGCTCCAAGGGAGGATTTGACTTGGCTTGTCAGATTGGTTTTGGATGCCAAGTGCCTTTGTCCTCCCTCTGCTCTCTTTCTGATTGTGAATTGCCTGGGTTGATGAGCTGACTTGGTACTTCTGCCTTTCGGCAGGACAGTCACAGGTGTGTGTAATGCCTGACAGTTCCTGATTGTATTATTTCTGACCATGCCAGAAAGAAGACTGTGTTAAGTTCATATATGTGTGTGATCATCTCTTCCCAGATAGATAATTTGTGGACCAAAATATCTGCTTCCAGCCACAGCCAGATAAGAGGCACTGACGCCTGTTAAGCAGACACTTGAACTTGTTAGTATTAAAGGTGGGGCCACGTGTATAGCCTACTTGAAACGCTCTGCTGATGTTCACAGTGGCAGTGACTCTTACATCTGCCAGGTATTACCAAAGCACTTTGTCTCTGTGATTAACCTCATCTGCTCAAGCATTTGCTTTTGGGTGGGGAGGGGCAGGGAGGGTATTGAACCACACTCAGCAGTACTTAGGGGTGACCCTTGGAGATTCTTGGGAGATCATATGCAGTGCCGGGGGATCAAACCTAGGTTGACCGCAGTGCAAGCAAAGCACCTTAGCTGGTGTGCTTCTCTCTAACCCATCAAGCATTTTCTGTATCAGGACTTTGCGCCTTGTGTTGCTAATGGATGAGTAGCAGTAACTAGATTAGATACAAGTTGTTTGAGCCCAGTCAGATCCTTCTTGTTGAACATTCTACTTTTTTATTTCCTAAGTATCAGGTCTGGTTTCCTGTGCCCAGCTTCCCTCTGTGGGTGTTCCATTAAAATACAGTTAAAACAATCACTTTACAAAATATTCTTCTTAAACCAAGGAGCTTTTGAATTGCACTTTTTTGTTTGTTTGGAGGCCTCCCCTGGTGGTGCTTAGGGATGCTACTCCTGGCTCAGTACTTGGTGATCATTCAAGGATCAAATCCTGGCCTGCATGCAAAGCCTGTGTGCTTGCCACTGAGCTGTGTCTCTGCTCCTGCATGGCATGACTTGTAGAGGGAAAGTAAAATCACTTCTGATTTTCAAAGTGTCAGCTGTTTTTTCCTATACATGTCGCCAACATATATGAAATGATTTCTAGCATGTGTGTGGCTACAAATGGAATTGGGTCCTGATAGCAGATGGAATTGGGCATGCAGATAGCAGATAGAATTATTAATTTCAGTGCATTTTGAGAAGTCAGCAAAGCACAAAGTCAGCAGTTGAATGGGAGACTCCTTGCTCGTCAGTACTTGGAAGTAACCTCAGATAAAGTTATTTATAAAAAGGAAGTTGAGTAAATGAGAGTTCAGGAAAACAAATTCGAAACAAATCTGGAGGCTAATATGAAGACATCATCACGACAGTCTGCTCAGGTGGGAGAGATACCTCAGTAGACTGGAATCACACCCAGATTCAGTCCCCGGTCCCACATGGTTCTCTGATCACCAGCAATAGCAACAACCCCTGAACTCTGAGCTAGGAATAGTCCCTAAGCAACCTTGGGCATGCCCCTCCCCCCCCCCGAAATAAAAGCAAACAAGACAGTATATTTAGGGGCTGGGATATAATTCAGAGAAGAGCTCATACTTGAATGTGGAGGATGTGGTTGCAAGCTTTGATATGACCCACACACACACCCCAAAAAAGGAGTGTATTTATATCCAGATAGTATACTTTAAACTTCTTATACCCTAGTCCTATATTATAGGATGAAAAGCCAAAACTAGAGTTCATTATTCCCTTCTCAGACAAAGAAGAAAAGAGCTCTGTGTTTTCTGTGGATTGAAATGAAAGATTTAAACGTTTAGTCTTCTAATGGCCTTGCCAGTTAATATAACAAAAATTATATAAGCCATTTTAAGGTTGTATTTAATTCCCAGTTACTATCTGTATTTCATTTCAGATTACTGTCTGTTGGAAGGTAATATTTTTGAAAAGTAAGTCAGAGTATTCAGTGGCACTCCCCCTCACAGCTTGGAGCGCGATTGGATTTAGGCATTAGAATATAACGGCTGAACTCCTGTGTGTCTTCTGGCTGTTGTCTCCAAGTCCAGGAGAGGGCACATGTACTGGAGAGAAGTAATGTCTAGAGTTTGAAGCACTCTTTAAAATGACCTCAGACTTAATGAAAAGTGAGAGAGTTCCATGGAGAGGTGCATTTCTCTGTCCTAGAGATTTGACTGCTTCTCAGCCAGAAATGTTTATTCCTACTTTCTCCCTTTCTCTCTCCTGTTTGTCTGTAAATAAAACTACTTTTCTTCACTTGAAATAAAAAATAGCGTAGAGAACCATTCCTGTGTGCCTCTCCCCAGATTCACCAAGTTTCACACTGTGGAATAGTTGCTTTATCACCCTCACTCTCTATGTCTCTGCAGATGTCTATCCATGTGAGTGTGTTCACCCACACATATACTTCATATGCTTTTTTTTTCTTGACTCATTTATATCACTTTTAATATTTCAGAGGAAGAACTAGAGTACAGCGGATAGGCTGCTCTCCCTGCTTACAGCAAGTCTGATCTCTGACATAATGTGTATTCCTGGAGCCTGCTAGCAGTGATTCCTGAGTACAGAGCCAGTGTGACCACCAGAAAAGAGAGAGAGAGAGAGAGAGAGAGAGAGAGAGAGAGAGAGAGAGAGAGAGAAACACATAGATGTATTTCAGAGAAAGGCCTAAGAATAAAATTAAGATATTCTATATAATCACAATACAGTTATTTAATTCAAATGCTCTACCTTGGTACAGTTCTTTCCCATTTTAATTTTGTCAACTGTGTCTGACAGTATCATAGACAGATTTGAAGGTATTTTTCATTTTTAGGATAGTATAGAAAGCTTTTGAACTCATCATTTGGTAGCGAAATGTACCAGTTATCCACCTCTGACCGTTACAAATAAGAATTTACAATTGGCAGAAATGTTAAGAACTCACCTCTGTGCTTCGGAGAAGTGGCTACAGAAATGAAATCAGCCGAGGTCACCAGTGGGGTTTCAATGTGAACTTTGGTGCTGGGCTGCTGTTGTGTATTTTCCAAAGTAAATATGTTCCAAATCAAACACTGCTCAATTCGCTTGGTCAGCACAAACCCCCTCAAGTGTCTTTGATCACTGCGGGTAACCTGTGACTTCTCGCTCTCGTCCTGCTGTAGCTAGTGTTCTGAATGTGTGGCTCTTGCTGTGTGGATGTGCTTCAAGGGGGAGCCTGCACGGAATGGACACTGTCCTGGTACCCAGATGTTGCTTGGGGGGCTGCTTAGTGGGGAGCGTCATGTTCCCCTGAAAGTTGAGGCCATCCATCTGCCCTCCAGCTCTGCTCTCTCCCTCTCAGCTGGTCATAGCGTCTGGCCTCACCCTGGGACCCTCAGCCAGGGATACCAGGGCTGGTTCAACCATGAGGCAGGTGTTCCATCCTTCTGTGAGCTTGTTCCTCTATGAAAAGGGGATGGGAGAGAGAGAGAGATAAGCGTGAGAAAAGTTTGGCAGCGCCCTTTCTTCCTTCAGGAGTCGCTGTGTTCTCTGCCAGAACTTGCTTTACGACTCTCCCTCGTAGGGCAGATTGGGTATGGTGAGCCATGCTGCTCAAATGCTCATTCACCGAGGCACTCATACCAGTCTGTGGGGCTGTGATTTTTTTTTCCTTTTTGTGTTCTGAGTGTGTGCTTTGAATGCCAGAGGTTAGGTTTGCCTTGGCATTGCATGATTCTCTGAGCACTGCCAGAGGTGATTCACAAGCACAAAGCCAGGAATAACCCCTGAGTACTATGAGGCATAGCCCCAAAACAAAAGCAAAAATTTATGTTTACTTAATAAGCTAAAGTATTGATATGGATTGAAGAGGTAGTTCAAGGGTTGAGGTACTTGCGTCATACACGGCAGACCCTGGTTTGGTACCTGGTAGCACAGTTGGTCCCCTGAATACTGCCAGGAATGAATCCCAAGTACAACTGATGTGACCCAAAAAAAAAACATAGAACAGAACCCACTGCCATAGCAGCTGGCTAAAGCAGGCCCCTCTGAGAGCCTCTGCCCTTGCTGTTCTGCCAGGCAACGGAAGGGTGCCTTCCACCTGACTATACTGGCGCTGTTGCCCTCTCACCACTGATTGCCCCACAGACTCCCCGGTCCATGTTTTGTCTGCAGTGGGCATGGTGGTCACACTGGCAGAGCTGAAAGTTGCATGAGATTGTGAATATACTGGGCATCTCTCCTCAGCATTCAGTGGAAGGGTCTGTGCCGTTCTCGATGATGCTGTCCCACTGGGACTATCCCAGCCCTCTCAGATCACCAACCAGACCATGTCAGATTTCTCCAGGACTCCTCTGAGAGCATCCAGCACAGTCCAGGATCCTATCAGGGTTCATACAGTCTATTTTGGTTGTTGCCTCCTTATCCTCCTTTATCTATTCCAGTCTTTTATGTAAATGTGTAATTGGGGGGAAGTGGACTTTACTCCACACCCTGCGGTGCTCAAGGCTTACTCCTGGCTCTGTACTCAGGGATCAAACCTGGTGGTGCTTAGGGGAGCCTAAGGATGCCAGGGATTGAACCCAGGTCTCTGGCTTGCAAAGCCTGGACTCAGCCCAGTGAGCTCTCTGTTCACCCAGTACAGGTATAAAGCAGAAAATCACATCCTCAGTGAAGGTGTCAGACAGTGTGAGTTCACCTGCAAAGTGTTGGCCCCTGCTTGGTGTGCTTTTTCTTTCCCATTTTGACTGACGTATTCCCAGAGAATTTTCTCAGAAAAACGAGTCTGTGTTGGATTTTGTCTCTAGGAGTTCTAGCAAATAACCTCCCTTTCTCCCTCTGTCCTTGGCATCCCAGCTCACCCGACGGTTGCCGCCCATCAAGGAAGCTAAGCCTCGGCTGCAGAAGCTCTTCCGAGACTTCTGGCTCTATTCTGTACTGATGGGCTTTGCTGTGGAGGGGTCAGGTAGGTGGTCTCTCCTCTCCTAGGGAAGACAGTGCAGCGTGGAAGCAAAGATGCCATGGGACTCCATTGACTATGTGCGCGGGTGGGTTGGTTTTGTCCCCGAGCAGCGGCTGCTTCCTGCCAGTATTTGCAGATGTTGGGCTTCCCAGATGTTGTGTAGGGTTCTGAAAACACCACATGTCTTGGGGAAAAATTGTTTCCAGGATGAGGTGGCATGTGAGTTTCTGTGCCGTGTTTTGGGCTGATTGGCTCAGCACAGCCCTGGAGATTGAGTCAACCCCACTGCGGCCCTTCGCAAGCATGATGGCGGTGTGTCGTTTGCATTCTCACAGGACTCTGGCCAGAGGAGTGGTATGAAGGAGTCTGTGAAATAGCCACCAAGTCCCCGCTGCTCACCTTTCCCAGCAAAGAGCCACTGCGGTCTGTTCTCCAGTACAACTCAGCCATGAAAAACGATACAGTCACTCCAGTAAGGCTTCTCGGCATGCCAGAGAAAAGCAATAACAGGACAATGGTTTCACTTAAGCTTTTTCTCTTTTCCTTCGTTCCTTCCTGCCTGCCTTCCTTCCTCCCTCCCTCCCTCCCTCCCTCCCTTCTCTCTTCCTCCCTTCCTCCCATTCTCCCTTCTTTCCTTCCTGTTTTGTTGGAGGGCCATACTCAGAAATTCTCAAGGTTCATTCCTGGCTCTGCACTCAGGGATCACTCCCTGCAGGGCTCAGGGAACCATGTGAGGTGCCAGTGATCCAACAGGGTCAGCCACAGGCAAGGAGGCACCTTAACCTCTGTGCTGTCTGACCCCTTGCTAAGCTTTTAAGAACAACTGGTGCTAATTCTTTCGTTGTCCTTGTTGACATGGATGAGCACCTGAGGCTTGAGGTCCTGAGGGATTCAGGTGAACCCTCAAGCAGTCCTGCATTCCTCTCCTTCCAGGCTGAACTGAGCGAGCTCCGCAGCACCATCATCAACCTGCTGGACCCTGCCCCTGAAGTGTCCGCCCTCATCAACAAGCTGGACTTCGCCATGTCCACCTACCTCCTTTCTGTTTATCGGCTGGAATATATGAGGTAGCTAAGCCTTTGCCTCCCTGCAAATCCATATTTGAACTACTTTTTAACTTTTTGTACCTCCTCAGCATGGAACCTATTCAGTTCCTCCTGCAAGATGTAAGCTTTCTTCTGTTTGTTTAAGAAGTTGGGGGTGGGTGAGTTGGGGCGATAGTTCAGGGTCCAAAACATGCTTTGCATACAGGAGCCCTGGGTTCAGTCCCCAGCACTGAATGTTCCCCCGAGCACCAAACCAGGAGTGACCCCTGACCACCACTGGGCATGGATCAAAAGCAGACCAGGACTGGAAATATGGTCCAAGTAGTTGAGTTCATGCCTAGCACAGAAGCAGATTGGAAATGAGGAACTGCTCCAAATTCACCCCTGAGGTGTCCTGGTGCTCACAGTGGATCTGTAACTGTTAGTGAACCTCACGGCATTAGTATTTGACCAACAACAACATAGTGTTATTGCTGAGTGTGTGTGCTGGCTAGGCATTGCCCTATCATCTGTAGTGAGACACTGTCCGTCAAGCCTGTGAGGTACAGGCTCTGTTCCATTCTCACGGTAGAGGAGACTGAAATAATGACCTGTCTTCCCCAAAATCCCACAGAGCCAACGGAGTTTTTCTTTTCTACTTTTCATTATGATTTTTCAGCTCTAAAAATAATACAAAGAAAAAAAAAAGAACATCCAAAAAAATAATAATAATACAAAGAGTGGCTGGAGTGATAGCACAGCGGGTAGGGCATTTGCCTTGCACGTGGCCAACCCGGGTTCGATTCCCAGCACCCCATATGGTCCCCCAGCACCGCCAGAAATAATTCCTGAGTGCATAGCCAGAAGTAGCCCCTGTGCATTGCCAGGTATTACCCAAAAAGCAAAATAATAATAATAATAATAATAATAATACAAAGAACCAGAGCCATCGTACAGCTGTATGTATACAGCGTACAGCATTTGCCTTGCACACAGCCGACCTGGGTCTGAGCGCCAGCATCCCATATGGTCTCCTGAGCACTGTCAGGAGTGATTCCTGAGGGTTGAGCCAAGATTAACCTCTGTGCATTGCCAGGTGTGGCCTCAAAACAAAACAAAATAAAAACAATATGAGAACATATTAAAAACTTTGGAAATAAAGGAGACAAGCCATTGATTCCATTACCATCCTCTATAGCATGTTAGTGTAGTTAACTGTTATTTTCTTATTGTTGTGGGGGCTACATTCAGTCATATTCATGGAACTAGGGCTACTTCCACAGTGCTCAGGAGCCATCAAGGCCATAACCAGCAGTATTTGGGGGACCATTCCGTGCCAGGGTCCACACATGCAAAGCACCTGAACCACATACCCAGTACCAAAATAAAAAATATTTTTAAAAGTTATAGCAGCTATAGAGATGATACAGGGATGAAGGCCTTCCCATGTGTCTGAGCCTAGCCAACATTAATCCCCTCAGCCCAAAACCAGGGTCATCCTGGACTCGAGGTCTTCCAGGAACCACTGGGAATGACTCCTTAGCCAGAACCAGGAGAGCTCCCAGGCACCACTGAGTATGGCTCCAAATTCAAAAATAAATTTAAAATATTAAAAATCAAATATTTGGGGGAAAAAAGAAAAAAATTTAAATATTTGGGCTCGGAGAAATATTAAAATGGGTAGAGTACTTGCCTTGCATGTGGCCAACCCAGGTTCAATCTCCAGCACCCTGAGCATTGTCAGGATTAATTCCTGAGTACAAAGCCAGGAGTAACCCCTGAAATTACTGAGTGTGGCCCCAAGCACTTCCCCCCACAAAAAAAAGCCACTTAAATATTTGTGCTTATAAGCACTCAAAATTGAATGTGCTTCGACCTAGCCAGCCTGCCCTGCTGAGCGGAACTCAAGAAAGGTTGCTATGGAAACCCATGGTACACCCAGAGAATAAGCCTATGTGTGCCTGTGTGGTCTCAGTGGGGTCCCCCAAGCCCTCTGCTGCTTTTCTCTCTTTTACATTTTCTACAAAAATAAAGGTATTTTTAT